GCCCTCGCCCTGTCGCCCCAGCTCCTCAGAAAGTTTTCGCCGAGACCCCCGGGCACCCGGCCCCGGCCCCGCGGCGCCTTTTGTTCCGCGGCGCAGGCGGAGGACGGCCTCCCCTTCCCCCTCCCCGGGCCCTAGCGTGGGCGCCCCGAGCCCCGCATTGTTCCCGGGTCCCAGGCGGGGGTTGCAGACGCTCGGCGTCCGCGCCCGGCGGCGCGACTGGGAGAACTTCGGGGCCGGAGCGTGGCCAGGGGCATCCATCTGGCATCGAGGCCTGAGGTAGAAAAGACCCCGCCAGACCCATCTCCCGCACAACCTTCCCAACCCCGGAGACACAAAACGAAAAGCCAGTCCCTCTTTTTGTCTGGTTGAATCCCTGAACATACAAAGGGTCATAAAGAAATTTAACCGTGCACTGTGAGCCATTTAACTCCCTGGGCTCATCGGGTGACATTTTCCCCGAGCACTTCCAAAATGTGTTTGACAGGTTCTCGCTCCCATCCTCCCAACCTTCCCCTCCTACCTAGGAGGGATCTCCTTTAAACTTCACTTTAGTTAGCTGGCTGGAAAGAGTGTGATAAGGAGGAAGATGATGAAACTTTTACAGGAAGGGCTTTTAAAACGGGACGGGGCGGGAGTGAATTCTTTTTAGAGTTGTAGTTGTGGATCGTGAGTGACGTGACATGACCGGTTAGGTAGGGTTTTCATGAGCTCAGTTTTGTGCCACGTAAAGAAACATGTTCAGGTCAGCTGTAGAATAAAGAGGGAGATATTTCGTATTTGACCTAAATGCAGTTCGCAGTTAACGTTATGTGTATTGAAAAGACTTTTGAACTCCCCCCAGGGTGTTGGCTTATAATAGTTAGCATTTGAAGTACATTTTGTCTTTTCAGAGAGCAAGAGCTAATTATTTCCCATTTCATCTTTTATCTCATTATTTTATATATTTCTCATTTTCCTGTGTTACTTTTCTTATGCCCGTTGTTGAGAGAATTTGTGCCCAGGTTGATTTCGTGTGTTTTAATGAGTGTAAAGAATCGTCTAAGAAGGGGATAAAGCAATTATTTAGAAAAGTAACATTTCGTTTTTATTTAGTAAAAACTTATATTTTCTTTTTAAGGGAATCCTAAATTTCTTTGATAGCCCCCAGCAATTGCAGTTTGTTAGGTGATCTCTCCTATGATGTTGTTAGGAGTGAACATAAATTTAGTATGTGATCTTACATTGTAAAGTCACATTTTTTTGCTGTGGATTACTTACACGAATTATCTCTTATAGAAACAACTCTAAAGCACTGTACTGTTAACTGTACAGTTGTCAGAATGTCATATAACCTATGGAACATGGATCATGGTGTAGAACAATGAATTAGAAATGTCTTTTTTAGTAAGCAGTCGATAGAAATAAGATAGGAAAAAAGACGGTTTATCTTCACTGATGTGGGATTATGGTTGAGTCTCTTAGTTATTGGTGTTTATAACACATCACAATTACCTCTACTGCAGCAATGTGATATGTTTTCAGTGGTCGTAAAAGAACTGCACTTATTTTAAACATTGAAAAACTATTTAAACAGTGTGGTTTTTATTTAAATTATAGAATTTAAATTCTATAGGAAGAATTATAGCTGTAGACATAGCTTCAGAATAACTCCCAACAGAGGATACTTCCTAATTGTGTGCCTTTTTAAAGCCGAATCTGTCAGGATCTAATGAAAACTAATATTGGTTTCAGATATCAAACTTACTTTGCTATGTTTCTGAAATGTGCGCGTGCACGTGTATGTGTGTGCTTTCTGAATTTTGGGATGGGGAGAACAGCTCTTTTCCTTAGAACAATGAATCTAGGCATTATTTGGAGATGAATACATTCATAATCGACAAATAATTGTCCGTGAGTAAAGATTGAAAGGAACAAAAAAACTACAGAAACCACCATGAGATGAAGTGAGGTATGAGAGTGCCCTTTCTGTATTGTGGCTGAGCTGATGATTTGTTACCGGCATAATACTCCAGAATCCTGGGTTTGCCTTGTAACTTTGTTGCTTGTGAAGTAATTTAGTACTCTATGTTTCCTCCACATAACAGTTTTGAACAGTGTCTTCTGGTGTTCATTTGGGTGTATGAGTTCCATAGCCAGCACATCTGGTTCTTTTGGAGTTGCAGAAAAGTAGGGTTATGGATTTGATTGAACTGTGCTTACTACAAGTTTTCCTTCTGGTTATTTTATTAAGGAATTATGGTGAAGGAGTCTATGATTAAAAGAGATCTTGGGCAAAGTTTATTCATTAAATATTGCTATTTAGTTAGTATTGCCTGGAGATGCAAGCCTCCTTTGGGCTAAAGCTGCTGTAAAATGATAGTAGCAGCACCATTTTAATAACTGGTTTGGAGTGCTGGTTTCAAAACTAGGATGTTTCACTTTGGGCCAGCAATAAGCAGGGCTTCTCTTAGAGCAAGGACTTGACGTGCAGGCCAAGTTGGTGTCACTGACATTTTACAACCTGTGAAATAAGAATAATTTTACACTTTAAAATAGTTACCAAGAAAAAAATTAATCTTTTGTAACATGTGAGGTTTTGTTTCAGTGTCTGCAAATAAAGTTTTATTGAAACAGAGCCACCATGTTTATTTACCTATGGTCTGTGAGTGCTTCCGGCCTACAACAGCAGAGTAGGGTAATTGTTACTATATGAATTACAAGCCTAAAATATTTACTGCCTGGCATCTTGCAGAAAAGGAGACTTTTTCTAAGAGAAAATTTCCTGCTTTTTAAATCAGCAGCATATTCTTTTTTTCTTTTCTTTTCCTTTTTTTTTTTTGAGTCAGGTTCTCACTCTGGGCCCAGGCTGGAGTACAGTGGCATGATTGCTGCTCACTGCAGCCTTGACCTCTTGGGCTCAGGTGATCCTCCTGCCTCAGCCTCCTGAGTAGCTGGGGCTACAGATGCATTCTGTCACACCTGGCTAATTTTTTGATTTTTTTTGTAGAGATGAGGTCTCAACATGTTGCCTAGGCTGTCTTGAACTCTTGAGCTCAAGCACCTTCCGACCTCCACCTCCCAAGTGCTGGGGTTATAGGCATGAGCCACACTAGCAGCATATTTTTAATCAGAGGTTGCAGGGTGGTTAGATTGACTCACTAGGGAGAAATAGAGCCAGACAGAGAGAAACTAGTGGATGCTACTTTCAACGTTGGCAGATTTAGAACTTAAAAGGAAAACAACAAAAAAACTCAGAATCTAGTCTTTCTGATGCATTGTACTTAGTGCTCAAAGGTAATGTAACTATTATGGAGCTATTGAAACTTGAAAGGACCCTCAGGTCCCGCTAACCAGGTTCTTGGTAATAACAGTCATTCAATATCTTCTCAATTGATGGAGTGAAAAAATTGTTGTAGAACTCACTGGAACCAAACCACAATTTCTCCAGGTGACATAGTGCAAGATTTTCTTTCTTTTTTTAAAAGTACAGATTACATTCAATATCTGGAATTATTAAGGTGTAACTTAAAATTGCAAGTATGTGTTTAACTGTGACTTATTTTTTCATCTTCTTATGCAAGCTCAGAACTGTGTGCTGTGCCACTAGTGATGATGAATTCAAGATAGAATTGAAATCATTTTTCTCCTCCAAATTAAGTAAATACTTGACATTACAACCAGAGACAAACGTTGTGCTAAAGGTCAGAGTCCGTCTCCTGTCCCCTTACCCCTCGTTTTCCTTGCAAGAATACTGACTTATGAAGTCAGGCATGAGTTAACTCTGCTTCAAGAATAGTCAGCTGGCTAAACCAGACGGACACTGATGGATTGCTGTCCTCCTCTGAACTGCCTTCTAGGGTCTGGAGGCCTTTGCAGCTGAATACCAAAAAGACTTTGGAATGGGTTTCTTTTCTTCCTTATAACCTGTGTTGAAACCAAAACAGGTGTCTGTTTCAATTTGACAGAACACTGGGATCTCTTTGTTTTGCTGGAAATACCTGGGGTCTTTATGTTCTCCTTTGAAGGTGCCTTAGAAGAACCTAGTAACTTCCAGCCCCTGTTGTTTAGACTCTCAGAAGCTTTGTTAAAAATTTTAGAATTGGCCAGGTTCTGTGACTCAGCCTGTAATCCCAGCACTTTGGGAGGTCAAGGCGGGTGGATTACCTGAGCCCGCGGGTTCAAGACCAGCCTGGACAACTTGGCAAAACCTCGTCTCTTCAATAAATAAAAAATTAGCTGGGTGTGGTAGCACGCGCCTATAATTCCAGCTACTTGGAAGGCTGAGGTGGAAGGATCACCGGAGCCCAGCGGGTTGACGCTAGGGTGGCTGTGAGCGTGCCACTGCACTCCAGCCTGGGCAACAGAG